AAGGCCTTAGAGTTGGCACTAACTTTTGACATATTTTCCAACTGTACCACCCTTGTGGATATTGGGAATGGACAAGCAGTCCCATCAGGCTTTCCATTTGTCACAAATCCCATCGTTATCGTCGGTCGTACCAAGATACAGTACAAATTCTTCCCAATAGTTGCGGTATCCCTCACCCGACGCAAAAATATCATAGGCCATTGCTGGGCTTTTGTAACCATACTACCAGAGAATGAATTCACAGCTCATTTAAAAGGAGACAGCAACTTTAGTCCCGATTTGTGGGAATATTTTGAGAGAAAGCAATACCACGTTGGAGACAACAGACATCCTAAGTATTTAGTGTGGTTGACCCAATTTAAGACCCATTTTCAAAAACAAATTCAAACATTATCTGTAAAGTTAATTGCACAGGTTGGATCATATAATTTCGTTCTCATCAGTGTATCATCCGATTTTGTCTCAAGTAAGCTTGAGCTGATAGCTGAGGAGGCACAGCTGTCACTCCATTGCTACAACCGCTATTATGCAAAATCCATCACCAGCGCTTCACCACCTTGGCTAAAAATTACATGTGACTCAGATCAACATATCAACTGCTTCAATAAACTATCCCACTTTACTGAAGAGATTTCACACTTGAATAAATATTTTTGGGAAGTAGATGTTTGGACCGATATAACAAAAAGAGGCTGGAACCACGACAATGTTGCCACGTGGAGCATTAAACTTAAATACTTTACCCAGCTTCATATACTAGTTGACCTTAGAGAAATCGCGAAGGTAACAGGTTTCGACGAATTTCTAGGGTATTGGATATTTCAGGATATTTTGTTCGATTTAGTCAACAAAAGTAGGAATGAAGTTCAACATATGCAAAATGTGCAAAAGGTGCACTATCTTTCACCCAAAGCAGAACTTGCATATAGGCAGCACTCTATTGTCCCAATTGAATCAAAATCCTTGAGTTTTCTGTCCTGTCACGGAGTCGGACATCACACTTCAATCATATCCCAGCTCTTTACCCCTTTTGAAAAATATGTGTGGCTTTTAATATCCCTGATTATCCTCACGGTCCTAATATTCCTTAACGCACCGAAACTTGACACTCGCGTGACGTTTCTTCTTATCGGAATATTACTAGAAAATTCGGTCCTTCTACCCCACGAAAAGACTATAGTATCTGGTCAAATCCGTTTTCGACTATTATCTGGTTTCTATGCCGTTTTTCTCGGAACAGTGTTGACAAACTATTACAAAACCAGTTTCACAAAAGAAATGATTCTTCCAGTGGAGCAAACAGCGCCCTGGCATACGATACTGGATACTGCAAACTTTACCTTTTATATCCCCTATGGCGCCATACTAACTGGTGAAGACATCGGAGGAATTAAGGAGCGTAGAACTCTTGACCAAATATTTTATGCTGAACTATTCTTCCGATTTGATGCAAGATCAAAATGCGATAATGTGGAAGGATCTAACCATGTGCTTTTAGGATATTGTGACCTAGCCGACAGTTTCGCGAACAGTATCACATTTCCATATTCTGTTTTCCAAAATGAGACTGAGGTTTTCAGCCCATCTCTAAGATCGATCAGTTATAAAGAAGTGTCAAATTTTGTGGAGAAATTATCGACATGTAACAGATCAGCGTATCTTGATGTAGACGAGAACCTTCCCAGCGTGGCCGCCTTTTTGAACGATAACCAGGATGGAAAGGTTTTCAAGAAAAGTGAGGGAGGATTCATGAAAGGAACGCATGGTTGGGAAAATGATCCAGTACAAAATAGTTTTGTTTGGAATCGATTAAAGATTATCATTTATTCTGGAATTTTTAATTTTTGGAACGACTGGTTTAGACGAACCAGGCCGGTCAAGTTATTTCAACATTACGCAAATTGGACGTACTCTCGATCGAATGCGATGAACAAGGTGCAATTCGGCTCAAAGATTGTAACCGGGTTTTACATGTATGGAATATGCATTGGTGTATGTGTCATTTGTGGTTTTCTTGAAATTATTGTATTATCGTTACAAAAAAGGTTATCATAAGCGGCTACTAAATGTGTAAAGAAATCTTGTAATATACATAAGTACGTATTGATACAATTTCCCGACTATGTAAATTTAAAGTAAGTGACAGACTCCAGCCACACTGAATCAGGAAACGTTGCTTGTATTGCTTTGAAGCGCATAAGGGGACGTTCGTAAACTTCATAACGCAAATTTTTGGTTTTCTGGACACCCACCCACCCCCTTTAACATGTGTCACATAGGCACGATATCATTAGGCCCTGACCCCCCACCCACCCCTCTTTGCGTTACGAAGTTTACGAACGTCCCCTAATTTCTAAATTTAAACCAAATCGGAGGCATACATAGGCCGGCTCTGACAAATGTTCGGCGGCAGCGTCGCCAGTTTTTGGACTTTTTCGCGTCGGAGGTCCGACGCCGCGCCGCCAGGCGTCGTAATGTTGAAGGAATAGGAAATCAAATTTTTCGGCGGCGGCGGCGCGTAAAATCGGCGGCGTCGACCTCTCTGATCGGAGGGTTACACTTTGCACCATCGTATTATGCATTAGAAAAGAAACAAGATAATTTAATACTGCCGAAATTTTAAATCACTGAGGTCAATTAGGGCTCCTTAATGCATTCGTGTATCATGAGAAATAGAAAAGTAACCACAAGCAAATGCAGAATGTAAATGAGTCAGAAAGTCATAGCTAAGTAATTATATTTTACGTAGTAATACCATAATTTATGTATGTCAGTAAGGAATCTGTGGACTTATTATCATTTTACTGCTTTGAATTTAGGTTAACTAACGTCGCCATGCATATTATTTATGCTAATCAAATACTAAAATAATCTTACATATGTACACACGTAAATTTTTATATTTCCTTTTGGTTCTGCTAACACGATTATGGATCTATGTGAATCAATTTATTACAACCAAATTTAGATAATTTTATGTATATATTTGACACCGTAAGGTGCATTACACATATATGTATGCACATACACAGTCACTAGATACTGCGTGCACACAATATAAACGCTGTTATATGACATATGTATTTACATATGTATGTATGTACATTTGTATATGCATAATTTCAGGCATGTTTGCTCTGCAATATCAATTATCTGCAAATTATAATATAGTGTATTGAATTTTGCTTTTAAAGTTTTAAAAGATTTATGGACATGCTCTCTTAAAAATAATACGCTACCCTTTGGATAATTAAGCGCATTGTGAGAGCTAAATTTAACGAATTATGTATACTAAATCCATAGTAAGCTGAACTCTTTATCGAGTTAACGTTATATACATACTCTTGACTTTAGCATAAATGGTTTACTTAACATGTGCAGAATTCAGAATGTATTTATTTTTCCAAAATGGTAACAATATTTTTAAGTGTGCAAACGAACTGACCTATATACTTGCATGTTTTAAATGGCATGTAATAAAATTGACATGTTATAATGATGTTTACTAGTGAAAGGGTTTTCCTAAATATAACGGCTGGAAAAACTATCTCATAAAATTCCTGAAATTTTACACGATACCTATTGCCATTAAATACATACATATTTAGCTCGAATTGTGTATATACTTATACCAATTATGCATTTAGAACAAGTTAAAAATTTTATAAAGTCTATCTGTAATGAATATGAGAATTCATTCATGCAAGCCCCAAGAACGGATAAAGAGCTGGTTTCTTATCGTATATAATTGTGATATACAGGGTGTTAATAAAGTCCGATCCCATTTTTCCTGTAAAAAAGTGAAGGCTAGTATAAAAAAAAACTACCCGTGATACTTACAAAAAATGTTCGACATATTTACCTTAGTATTTGGTCTTGTTACCATTTACTTTAACCATGCCCTCAACTCTTTGTTTAAGGCTCTGTGCTAATTTTTCCAATGTGCCTCTGGAAATCGAATTCCATACATCTTGAACTTTTTTTTACTAGCTCTTCCCTCGTCCGGGGTTGTGGCTCTTTGTATACATTTTCCTTAAGTATGGACCACTGGTTCTTCAGGGGATTCAAATCTGGGCCGTTAGCGGCCCACACCCCCTTGCTCCAGACCGTTGAAACTTGCGTCTTGATGAGACTCAAACTCGCTTTTGCTGTATAGGCTATAGCACCATCCTGCATGAAAACTATTTTTCTTTCATTCGGAAATATTTCCTTGTTCCCCATGCTATCGAAATAGATAGGTAATATTTTTTCCATATAATGCTTTGCATTGACTGATTGGCCTTTTGGTATGATATGTAGAGGGGTCACGCAACGTGCACAAAATCCACCCGCTACCATAACTTTAAGCCCGAATTTTGGGATCGCTCTTGATGGTACATCCGATTTGTTTTCTGTCCTGTAACGAACATTTTGTTGGTTCAATTTTGGATATAGTTCAATAATAGATTCGTCAGTCCAAAGGATGTGACTGCGCAATTCTTCACCAAGTCTTTTTTCACTCAAATGGGCACTTTTCTGAAGGAGTTCTTCAAATTTCAGACGGTCATCGATATATTTTTGTGACATGAGAGGTTTTTTTGGTTAGTTTGTAAGCTGTGTGACCCCACTTCGTAGTTTTCACAAATTTTTGCACGGTCACACAGTTAATTTGCTTCTTCTTCTCTTTATAGCGTTTTGAGTCATTTAACTCCCTTGCTCAATTACGTAATGAACTACCGGTTTTCTTGCAAAGTCTGTTTTTAATCATTCTTTTTGTGGTAGGTGACACCTTTCTGGGTCGCCCTGGTCGCTTTTTGTCGTGGACAAAATTTTTATTCTTCCATTTCCAAACAGTTCTGCGGCTGCAGCCCAATTTTTGCACAATTTCTGTAGGTTTAAGCCCCTGCTGATGCAATGTTTGTATCTCAACTCTAAGATGCTCATGACTTACACGTTTAGTTGTTCCTCCCATGGTAAAAATTTGAAATAAATAACTTCACTGGTTCAAAAGTTCCAGCTGAATTTGTAACAACCACGCTCCAAAAAATGCATGGGATCGGACTTTATTAACACCCTTTATAATATTTCTGGGAAACATATTTATTAACCTACAGAACACCTAGGGATGAATATTACACTGGTAAGTAGAGCCATGCTCAGAAAATCTCACTCAAACGATACAATTTGAAGCACTGGTCATGCTAATGAACCCGATTTCCAAAAGAGGATCGTGTATCTTGCCGTTGCGCTTGGGGTATGGATTCAAGTGGGCGAATGTCATCGTCGATGGCGCCGACAAGGTGGAAATTTCAAATGCGTCGCGCCAGGCACTTACCCACACCCATCGTCGACTAAGGTAAATTCAGAAAACTTGTTAAGGTAGCCCTGGATGACTCATCGTCAAAATAAATACCCGTAGTCCAAATCAGCACATTTTAAACCACGTTTTTTAACTTCTGATCAACACTTTTATAGTCAGCAAATTTTTGCGAGTTTTTCTAAATTAAGTCAGTTTCGATAAGGTCTAATTTTTCGGCAACTCGAGTCCCTTCTTGCAAACAGTGTCAAAATCTGAAGTCAATATATCTCAGAAATCAGGAACGACCTGTTCCACGAAAGCGTAGACACGAATTTTATAATACATATATTCCCAGACTCGAGAAATTTTTTAAAATCTGTTAAATTTGGCGATGAGTCGTTAAGTATGTTTCAGGCACTTTAACTTCTGGTACTACATAGTCGGAAACACTCAAGTGTCAATGACATATAGCTTTATTACTTTTGTAAATCTCAACTTAGCAATTTTTGATTTATTTTACCGAAAAGCCAGATAAATTTCAATTCAAAAACAATTTTTAGTCTTAAAATTTTCCTCCTCCTGCGTCAATGCCACGCTAAAGACGAGACGACCACTCCTCGATGGAATTACGCACCGATTCCAGGGACATTTTGTGGCATTCCCGGGTCAGAAATTTTTTCCAAGCCTCCGCACTTCTACGGGGCTTAGAACACACCTTTGCCCCTAACTTTGACCATTTTTCATATTCCGGAGGTTCAAATCCAACAAATAGGATAGCCATTTCTATTCGGAGATAAAGACCGGAATTTGTTTTTTTAGCTACGCTTGGGTCATTTTTTGCACTATAAATTCGTGCTGAGTCCTGCTGAGAGGTCCCATCGATTCCATTGAATTGGATCTCACTTAAGGGATGTACCACGGACTCAAAAACATATTTCAAGAAATTTGATTCCCCCACCTCCCCCCAATTTTCAGCAAAATGTAGAGAAATTACCCCAATTAGCTCCCATTTGCCAAAATCATCAAAAAACCCGGATAATGTGACTTTCTGACCTTTTATCTATATCGGGGGATGTCTCTGACCGATTTTGCGTAGATTAGGACAATTCGCTTGTTAAAAGATTTTTCCGATGTGAAAATCTCCTCATTCGTAAAAATAATCCTGCTCCCTTTTTTGGAGCGTACCGCTTGAGGTGACTCCTGCATTCATTTAATCTGGCTTTCCTTTGGGGTACGATCAGGATGTGGCAAGTACCACGTTTCAAAGCCTTAAGCCTAAGCTTCAATTTGAGCACTCATTGGATAATTTGCATCGACACTGTCAGCAGTGAGCCCGGTTTCCGTTGGAATTTCGTGAATTTCTTCGGATTCCAGGCTTGAGAGGCTTCACGATGGGTGTGGTCCTTGGAGGTTTTCAAAAAATTCTTCTTCGACTGTTCTTAGTCGATTCGGTTCCCATGAATGTTTTTATAGTCCGTTGGGCTAAATTAAAGCACACCTTTGACTTTTTCAGCACATGTCAAATCACTGTTTTTCTGCGATTTTTTTTGTGAAAAACTATCGCCGCCCGCTTCTCTTCAATTTCCTGTATATTTATCCAGATGTTCAAAAATTACAAAGTCCATAGTGAATCATAATGTAAATCGCATGGCGAATCTAATGCACTTATCAGATTTTACTTCTGCGGCGTAGTTTTTTAGCAATCGGCTGTTGACACTTGAGTGTTCCCGACTATGTATATAAAATTTTGTTTTATTGCAGTACATAAGATGCATTCGAATCCGAGGAAGATTATACCAATACATTTTCACATGTCCAAAACCTTCACGATTCAACTCGGCAATCTCAAAATGTGTTTTGGATGATACAAGTACTTTTTCATGTATTATCAAGCATAGCACTGCTTTAGTAATTTTAAAACCATGAAATTATTAGTCACAGATGCTCCCACTACGGTCGATCCTCCAGCAACCACGACGTCGGTTCCTGTAACAACTCCACCCATAATAACTACAAGTTCGACGACCAGCTTCTCAACCTCGTCGACTGGACCAACTCCATCAACGGGAAACCCGACCCCATCAACGGGCAACCCAACTCCTTCCACTGATGAGCCCTCGCCCTCGACTGATGGACCATCGCCGTCGACTGACGGACCATCGCCGTCAACTGACGGACCATCGCCGTCAACTGACGGACCATCGCCGTCGACTGACGGACCATCGCCGTCGACTGACGGACCATCGCCGTCGACTGACGGACCATCGCCGTCGACTGACGGACCATCGCCGTCGACTGATGGACCATCGCCGTCAACTGACGGACCATCGCCGTCGACTGACGGACCATCGCCGTCGACTGACGGACCATCGCCGTCAACTGACGGACCATCGCCGTCGACTGACGGACCATCGCCGTCAACTGACGGACCATCATCCTCCACTGACGGACCATCTCCGTCGACTGATGAACCATCGCCGTCGACTGATGGACCATCCCCTTCGACTGACGGAACATCGCCATCGACTGACGAGCCATCGCCATCGACCGACGAGCCGTCGCCATCGACTGACGAGCCATCGCCATCCACTGACGAGCCATCACCATCAAGTGACGAGCCATCGCCATCGACTGACGAGCCATCGCCTTCAACTGGCGAGCCATCGCCATCGACTGACGAGTCATCGCCATCGACTGACGAGTCATCGCCATCGACTGACGAGCCATCGCCATCAACTGACGAGCCATCGCCTTCAACTGGCGAGCCATCGCCATCGACTGACGAGTCATCGCCATCGACTGACGAGTCATCGCCATCGACTGACGAGCCATCGCCATCGACTGACGAGCCATCGCCATCAACTGACGAGCCATCGCCTTCAACTGGCGAGCCATCGCCATCGACTGACGAGCCATCGCCATCAACTGACGAGTCATCGCCATCGACTGACGAGCCATCGCCATCGACTGACGAGCCATCGCCATCAACTGACGAGCTATCGCCATCAACTGACGAGCCGTCGCCATCGACTGACGAGCCATCGCCATCCACTGACGAGCCATCACCATCAACTGACGAGCCATCGCCATCGACTGACGAGCCATCGCCATCGACTGACGAGCCATCGCCATCAACTGACGAGTCATCGCCATCGACTGACGAGTCGTCGCCGTCGACTGACGAGTCGTCGCCTTCGACTGACGAACCGTCGCCTTCAACTGACGAGTCACCGTCGACGGACGAGCCGTCACCGTCGACGGACGAGCCATCGCCATCAACTGACGAGCCGTCGCCTTCAACTGAAGAACCATCGCCCTCGACCGACGAACCGTCGCCTTCGACTGACGAACCGTCGCCTTCGACTGACGAACCGTCGCCTTCGACTGACGAACCGTCGCCTTCGACTGACGAACCGTCGCCTTCGACTGACGAACCGTCGCCTTCGACTGACGAACCGTCGCCTTCGACTGACGAACCGTCGCCTCCGACTGACGAACCGTCGCCTTCGACTGACGAACCGTCGCCTTCGACTGACGAAACGTCGCCTTCGACTGACGAAACGTCGCCTTCGACTGACGAAACGTCGCCTTCGACTGACGAAACGTCGCCTTCGACTGACGAACCGTCGCCTTCGACTGACGAACCGTCGCCTTCGACTGACGAACCGTCGCCTTCGACTGTCGAACCGTCGCCTTCGACTGACGAACCTTCGACTGACGAACCGTCACCTTCAACTGATGAGCCATCGCCCTCAACGGATGAGTCGTCGCCGTCGACTGACGAACCGTCGCCTTCGACTGACGAACCGTCGCCTTCGACTGACGAGCCATCGCCTTCAACTGGCGAGCCATCGCCATCGACTGACGAGCCATCGCCATCAACTGACGAGTCATCGCCATCGACTGACGAGCCATCGCCATCGACTGACGAGCCATCGCCATCAACTGACGAGCTATCGCCATCAACTGACGAGCCGTCGCCATCGACTGACGAGCCATCGCCATCCACTGACGAGCCATCACCATCAACTGACGAGCCATCGCCATCGACTGACGAGCCATCGCCATCGACTGACGAGCCATCGCCATCAACTGACGAGTCATCGCCATCGACTGACGAGTCGTCGCCGTCGACTGACGAGTCGTCGCCTTCGACTGACGAACCGTCGCCTTCAACTGACGAGTCACCGTCGACGGACGAGCCGTCACCGTCGACGGACGAGCCATCGCCATCAACTGACGAGCCGTCGCCTTCAACTGAAGAACCATCGCCCTCGACCGACGAACCGTCGCCTTCGACTGACGAACCGTCGCCTTCGACTGACGAACCGTCGCCTTCGACTGACGAACCGTCGCCTTCGACTGACGAACCGTCGCCTTCGACTGACGAACCGTCGCCTTCGACTGACGAACCGTCGCCTTCGACTGACGAACCGTCGCCTCCGACTGACGAACCGTCGCCTTCGACTGACGAACCGTCGCCTTCGACTGACGAAACGTCGCCTTCGACTGACGAAACGTCGCCTTCGACTGACGAAACGTCGCCTTCGACTGACGAAACGTCGCCTTCGACTGACGAACCGTCGCCTTCGACTGACGAACCGTCGCCTTCGACTGACGAACCGTCGCCTTCGACTGTCGAACCGTCGCCTTCGACTGACGAACCTTCGACTGACGAACCGTCACCTTCAACTGATGAGCCATCGCCCTCAACGGATGAGTCGTCGCCGTCGACTGACGAACCGTCGCCTTCGACTGACGAACCGTCGCCTTCGACTGACGAACCGTCGCCTTCGACTGACGAACCTTCGACTGACGAACCGTCGCCCTCGACTGACGAGCCGTCACCGTCGACTGACGAACCTTCGACTGATGCCCCCCCTTCGACTTGATCCATTATTTACTACGTATATATGTACATATTTACAATACACATATACTTCCTGCAGTTTGTATTAAATTTAGTGTATTTTTAAAATTTCACTCTCCTTAAATATTTATTGAACTCGAGAAGATCTACATACATACAAATAAATATATACAACTAGAGTAAAGCCCTGTCGATCCTCCTTCTGAGTTCTTCTTTTAGATGTCGTGTCGAGATGGGTAAGTCACTAGGGGAATATGTCCGGACTTTAGGGGGAACTTTCATTGGGGTCAGAGAAGCTAATATTTTCCTATTTAAGCGGCTATCTTCTACACTCTGCCTTGCAATCCCGCAACCATTTCGTGCAAGTACCCGCGTACTTAAATTCTGCCCGCAAAGGAAAATAAGAAAATATTCAATAACGAGACTAGTGGAGCTTCCATTACGATGATGGATAATTGTAAGTGTAGTGTTTAAATTCTTTGGATTTAACGTACGTTTTCTCCTCTTTGGGTACAAATTTTATCCGCGCGCTTTAACTTGTCCCCGTCTCATACACATTTTAACGGTGTACCCTACCGTGTTGTAGAGTGTAGAGCGTGTATACATACCATAGATATAGATTAGAATAGATCAGGCATCTTCCAAATAGTCAATGTTAAAAACTCGGCAATGTTTTTGAGGTGGGACTAAATCCTGCCTGTGTCTACAAACCAAGCTCTGACGAGGGAACCTTTTATAGTGCCCGGAGCTCCCAGCATATCCACTATATGCATTGGATGCAGTTTTTAATACTAGTCCTTAGGGTTGCCGCGGGTAGCGAAAATGCTACCCGTTACCCGACCCGCTACCCGCAGCCCAACTACCCGTACCCGCACGGGTACCCGTGCGGGTACCCGTTACCCGCTACCCGTTATGAGAATTAAGTTAAAAACTAACCGATCTTCAGAACAAATTTGATTGAATCAATTATTTGCTCATTTTTGTTAATAAGGAGTTTGAGATAATGCTATGCAAGTATCTCATGCCATACTTTGCTAGATGTCATTAGTTGTTTCTGAAACCAAACTTTTAGGCTTACAACGAAACCTTTTTCAAGCTACACGGGGATTTCCTAGCGCGTGATATCAAAACATCAAGCCAAAAATTAGGAATTACGTGACACTTATTTTTCCCCTGAATGATCACTTTGAAGAAAACTAGCGGTGAGGCAGAGTTCAAAGTCCACAATGGTTTTCATCCAATGGAGGAAAATGATGTAGAACATTTGCTTAAAAATTGAACTTTGCCTCAAATATTTTTTTCAAAGTGATGGTCACTTAGTGACCATTTAACGGAAAGAGTGTCACGTTATTCCTAATGGACGTTTTGATGTAACTCTAAACTCGATGGACAATCGTGGTGTACTTTAAAAAAAGTTACATTGTTAGTTTGATTTTTTGAAATTTAGATTTACATGAAGTTTTCATTAAAAAATTCGTCTACATATTAAATTCTTGGCTTCAATCCGATTGAGGGTTTTCGCTTTCTCTGCACAAATTTAAATATTGCATAAGTCTTACATACCTAAATACACGCAGACACAAGTTAAATTATTTCTGATATTTTAGAGCAGGCCAATTATGCTTGAAAAAAAATAATTTCCCCATTTCTGTATTTTCTGGAAGTGAAAGGTACATATTTGAGACTACCGAGGTTTCTGTGGCAAATAGCAAATTTTGAAGTGGAGAAAGGACAAAATCATACTTCTGTAAATGTAGGGCCTGATGATGTCCAAACTTCGTTTGTGACCCAAATTTATGCCAAAATTAAATAAAAACTGAACTACCCGTTACCCGTGCGGGTAGTTCTCGCTACCCGCAGATAACGGGTACCCGCAAAAATCATGCGGGTATGCGGGTAACGGGTACCCGACCCGTTACCCGCGGCAACCCTACTAGTCCTATGATGTGACAAAATTTCCGCGTCAAAATGACATTTGGTAAAGCGGTGACGATTTTAGTGATGCGCCGAACGGTCATTTTCGCCATGTTTTTAGGACCGCAGGTACCCTTTCACCTCTTCACTACACGCTCCCCGCTCATCTCACTGAAATCTCAACTCATTTGTTCACCGATGAGACTGGCATCTAATTAAACTATGTATATTTACAATATCATTACAATTTATCTATATTATAAGCGAGAATGTCTGTTGGCAACGGAAGTTTGTCCGTCCTAAAATTCTGTTCGTGACGGAAGTGAAAGTAGAGAAAGTCTAGGCGTAGCCTTATCTAGGCGTGGTGGTTATCTGGGGGTGTTAGTTATCTGGGGGTGTTGGTTATCTGGAGGTGGTGGTTATCTGGGGGTGTTAGTTATCTGGGGGTGTTAGTTATCTGGGGGTGTTGGTTATCTGGGGGTGCTGGTTACCAAGGGGTAGTGGTTATCTGGGGGTAGTGGTTCTCTGGGGGTAGTGGTTATCTGGGTAAGCCCCCAATACCTCGATATCCGAATATCCAGGTATCTCAATATCCTTGATATTCCTGATATTCTTGATATTCCAAATATCCATAATATTCTTCATATTCTAAATATCTATAATATTCTTGATATTCAGAATATCAGAATATCGAGAATATCAGAATATCCGGAATATCAGGAATATTGAGGATATCAGAATATCGAGAATATCAGGAATATCAGGACTATCAAGAATATCAAGAACATCAGGAATATTAAGAATATCATATATATCAAGAATATCAGGAATATCAAGAATAGCAGTAATACCAAGAATATCAGGAATATCAGGAATATCAAGAATATCAGGAATGTCAAGAATATCATATATATCAAGAATATCAGGAATATCAAGAATAGCAGTAATACCAAGAATATCAGGAATATCAGGAATATCAGGAATATCAAGAATATCAGGAATGTCAAGAATACCAGGAATATCAAGAATATCAGGAACATCAGGAATATCAAGAATATCAAGAACATCAGGAATATTAAGAATATCAGGAATGTCAGGATTATCAAGAATATCAATAATATCAGGAATATCAAGAATATTAAGAATATCAGGAATATCAGGAATGTCAGGAATATCAAGAATATCAAGAAAATTACGAGTATTAGGAATATCAAGAATATCAAGAATATCTATATTATAAGCGAGAATGTCTGTTGGCAACGGAAGTGAAAGTAAATTTGTCCGTGACGGAAGTTTGTTCGTGACGGAAGTGAAAGCAGGGAAAGTCTTAGGCGTGGCCTTATGGTTATCTTGAGGTGGTGGTTATCTGGGGGTGGTGGTTATCTAGGGGTAGTGGTTATCTGGGGGTGGTGGTTATCTAGAGGTAGTGGTTATCTAGGGGTTGTGGTTATCTGGGTGTGGTGGTTATCTGGGGGTGGTGATTATCTAGGGGTAGTGGTTATCTGGGGGTAGTGATTATCTAGGGGTGGTGATTATCTAGGGGTGGTGATTATATAGGAGTGGTGATTATTTGGGGGTAGTGATTATCTGGGAGTGGGGGTTATCTGGGGGTGGTGGTTATCTGGGGGTAGTGATTATCTAGGGGTAGTGGTTATCTGGGGGTGGTGATTATCTAGGGGTGGTGGTTATCTGGATAAGCCGACCGATATCCCGATATCCCAATATCCCTACCGATATCCCGATATCCCAATATCCCTACCGATATCCCAATATCCCGATATCCCAATATCCCTACCGATATCCCGATATCCCAATGTCCAATATCCCTACCGATATCCCAATATCCCGATATCCCGGAAGCGGGATATCGGGATATCGGTAGGGATATTGGGATATCGGGATATAAGGATATCGGTAGGGATATTGGGATATTGGGACATCGGTGGGGATATTGGGATATCGGGATATTGGGATATCGGGATATTGGGATATCGGTGGGGATATTGGGATATTGGGATATTGGGATATCGGTAGGGATATCGGGATATTGGGATATCGGGATATTGGGATATCGGGATATTGGGATATCGGGATATTGGGATATCGGGATATTGGGATATCGGTAGGGATATTGGGATATTGGGATATCGGTAGGGATATTGGGATATCGGGATATTGGGATATCGGTAGGGATATTGGGATATCGGGATATTGGGATATCGGTAGGGATATTGGGATATCGGGATATTGGGATATCGGTAGGGATATTCGGATATCGTGATATGGGTTGGGATATCGCTGTATTAGGATATCGGAATATCAGCCGGGATATTGGGATATCGGCAGGGATACTGGGATATCGGTAGGGATATTGGGATATCGGGATATTGGGATATCGGTAGGGATATTGGGATATGCGGGATATTGAGATGTGGCGGTGGTGGTTAACTGGATTTGGTAAGCCCCCATACCTCGATATCCCAATATCTTGATATCTCGACCAATATCCCAGTATCATATCAAGGGTATCAAGATACCGAGATATTGGGATATGGGGGTGGTTGTTATCTGGGCATTGTGGTTAACTAGGTTAGGTAAGCCTCCCAACTCGATATCCTAATATCCCGACCAATATTTCAATATCCCGTCCCATGTCCCGGTATTCGAATATATTATCCGATCTTAAAATACTGGGGTACTTCCGTGGTTCAACTCTTTTAGGATCTAAGGATACTGGGATATTGAAATTAGGACTCCTAGATATTCGGGTTGTATATTGAAGGATCGGATCACGAGTCATGCAAGGCTTCAGCCCAGCCCAATCGCTAATATTGAGTAAACTCTGTTTCAATTCTGGTAATTGCAGCGGGAAAGCCACATGCCCAGTTACTTAACATGGGCACGTGACTTTCCCGCTGCAATCACCAGAATTGAATAGTTTAGTAAGGAATAACTGATCGCAGATTTAAATTGAATTTCATCCCGCCCAATGTAATCAAGTGGGCACGTGATTTTCGCGCGAAAATATCCTGCGATCATTTATTCCATAATAGCCAAAAGCTAGGTAGTGAGTAGTATACGACCGCAGACGAGGGGAATCTTGATTTTGTTCACTTTAACGTTCGTCTGAAATTTCTTTCACTTCCACAGGCGACAAAGAGTTGCAGTTAATATTATCAAAAATTTAATTGGTG